GCTTCTAATTCTATATAGTAACCCCTTAGAAATTTTTATAAATGTGCCCTAAAATGTTGCAAAAATCGGTGGATATGGTTTAATTCATTTGTCCATAAAAAATTTTTTTAATTGCAAGTCATGTGCCCACTAATTTATCATTGGTCCAAATTATTTATTGTAAACAATTACAATCTAAATCATTTTTAAATTTTTTTAATTATAAAAAAAAAAATGGCAACAATCAAAGAGATTAGGAAAGATAAAGGAATGGTAGAAGAAGAGTACAAGAAGGCAGTGGAGAAGTTAAAGAAGTTTGAAGAAGGAGAAGACAATGGGAAGTGGTTGGAGAAGTTGAGGAGAAAGTTGGATGACAAAGAATGGGGAGAAGATGAAAAACAGAAGGGAAGGTGGGAAGAGATGGTAAAAAGGTTGGAAGAGAAGGAAGCGAGACTGGTGAAGGATAAAGATTATTGGAAGAACCAGGTGGAGAAACTGCAGGGTGTGTTGTTAGAATATGGTAAAGAAAAAGGTAATGAACAAATTGCATAAAAAAATATACAAAAAAATTATTTTTCATTCATTCCATTTCATTTATTTATTTGATTGTTGGAGAGAGTGTTTGGTATACTGGACCAACTGTATCTACATAACAATTTCTGAAATATATAGGTACTCCATCAGGAAAATGTGTTTTTTTTTGATAAACATATTATATGTATATTATATGTGTATTATTTTACATTACAGGTGATCTGCATATAATATACATATAATACACATGTCCATAAATTACACACGAATTATACATATATTATATGCAGATCACCTGTAATGTAAAATAATACATCACATTACAAATGGCTAAATTTTGGTCCCTGAAATCCTTGGTAATACCAATGTTCATTTTGTCTGGTTTTGTTACAGCATGTCCCATATATGTTTCCCAATTGAACCATCACTGCTTGCATTTAAATCACTCCTACAGAAAGTGTAAGGCTTCACTTTCATCATTGACAAAAATTTATACAAAATAAAATGATTTATCAAAAAAAAAAAAAAAGAAGCAGAATAATTGGTAATTATGTATATACTCAACAAAAATATGTTATTGATAAAGTCTAACTTTCCTTAATTGTGATTCAAAAATGTCAATTTGGAAATAATTATTTATTTGCAAGAATTATACTTGAATACAGAAGGTTTCATTCATGCTTATTTGGCTAATTGATTGATCCAACTTTTCAAATCATATGAATTACCAATTTCAAGAACTCCAGAAGAAAAAATTTGACACTGAACAAATGGTTCATTTTCGCATATGACTCAATTCTAACCAATAATAATAATAATAAAATCAAAAACTAAATATATATATACTTTTCCATGATCGGTCATTGCTTTAGTGCTCCTACTGATTTATTTGTTAATTGTACATTTTAAAATTAAAGATATTAAGATCCAATAAAACAAACTAAATTTACGGTATTTTTTTTTGGAAAAAGGCTTACTATATTAATATATTTACAGCTGACAATCAATTTAATTTAATAGTATTTACATGGGGCGATTTGATCACATTACATCATTACACATCTTAGGGGGTAGTATCTTTCCTTTATTAGAAATCGATATTTAACATAAAAAAATTGTTTTTAAAATTTAAAAAAAAAAAAAAAAAAATGAAAAAGAGGAGAATCGGTGGAACAGTCACGCCAGAACCAACTGTCATAAATAAAAAGATTAAAGGAGTCGTCATACCAAGGATAGAAATCCCAAATGTTCCAGGAAATATTTTTGTATTTGGTTCAAATGAAATTGCACAGCTAGGTTTCGATCCTGAAATTGTTGACACTATCAAAAAACCGAGGCTATTGGAACCTCTAGTAAACAAAAACATAGTTGCGATATCTGTATCAAGTTTACATAACGTTGCTATAGATGATCAAGGAAGGGTATACAGTTGGGGCTGCAATGATGAGGGTGCTTTGGGAAGAAATACCGACAAAATAGATGAATTTATTCCTGCTCAAGTTGAGGGAGTAGATGATGTTAGAATTGTTAAGGCTGCTTGTGGTGATAATATAACATTTTTATTATCTGATGAAGGCGTTCTTTATGCAGCAGGCACTTACTTTGTATGTATTAGTGTATTTGTATATTGTTTATTTATGTGTGTTTGTATATTTTATTTATTTATTTACTATTTCCTTTTATTAATTGTGTTTGTTGCTTGTGCATTTTTTATGATTTGCCATTAAAATTTCTTAATTAGGATGAAAATGGACGACTCGGATTTTCGCGAGAACAATTACTTCATAAACAAATAATATTCACTAAATATAAGCCTGTCCAACGTATCAAGTTCAGTGATGTTGCTTGTGGTGAAAACCATACATTAGCTATTACAAAAAAGCATGAACTGTATGTCTGGGGGTGGAATGGAATGTTTCAACTGGGAAGAAAATTTAATCCTCGTCTAAATGAAAAGGGATCAGGGTTGGCACCAGAACGCATTATGAGAAACATTAAAAAAATTTTTTGTGGTAGTTGGAATTCGTTCGTTATTGATACAAGTAATAAATTATATGTATGGGGACTTAACAACTATGGCCAATGTGGATTTGATCCTAGCCAGAAAGAATCAATAATACTTCCTACACGACTTGATCTTGATTATGATAGTACAATTAAAGAAATTGCTGCCGGACAACACCATACAATTGTATTGTTTGAAGATGGTAGAATGTTTTCTTTTGGAAGATGTGATGATGGTCAATTAGGCGTTGGTGATAATGTAATGCAGAATCAAAGATTTTACACTTTCAGTGAAGTGGGAAGAGATCCATTATCAAATAAAGACAATGTTACCACCACTTCTAAAGATGTTGATAATGAAATTTCGAATTATAGAAAAGTAAGGGCATGGAACAATAGCAATATTGCTATTGCTCATGATGAATCGATATGGTCATGGGGTGCTGGTGAATCCTATAACCTTGGACATGGACAAGAAAGAAATGAACCATTGCCACGTAAAATAACTTCAATTGATTTACACAATTACCAAATAGTTGATGTTGGAGTTGGTTCACAACATGGTGCAATATTAGCCCATGAAAAGGATAATTGAGAATAATTATATAATAAAGCAGATAATATTTTTATTATTTTATATGTGTATAGGAAATTAACAAATTAAAATTAAAAATTATATTACATTCAACATCTATATAATAAAATATATAATAAATAAATGACATTCAAGTATAATCTTTTACAATAAGTTAAACACATTTTTTACAAGAACAACCAACTGTCCATGAATGGTGAGCACAATCATCCATGCAAGTAAAAAGGATAAAAATAATGTAGTGATAAATTCAATTAATAATTATTTGAAACAAATATTTATGTATGAGTAATATTTGGAATTCATAATCTTCAAAAGAAAGAACAAAGGCTAGCAGGAAGCATGGTAATTATCAAGCACCCCTACGGGCAGTCCACATCCACTCAAGAAGATAGATGACAAGATTTTCTCGGAATAAATAAATAAAGTAAAGAGGGACCCAGTTAAATTATTAGTTTTGTGCTAATGGTATGTATAGTTTTTTATGTATTCTTTTGTAATGTGACCCAAAAAAAATGTTTGTAATAATGGTGTCTTTTTGATAATGACTTGGATGAAAAATATATAATATGGTTACTAATTAAATTTATTATTATTTATTTATAACCGAGTTTACACTTTATCAAGGATTGTAAAGTTATTAGAACAAAGCTGAATTATTGAAGTTGTTCAGGTTGATAATGATAGAAACTGCATTTCAATTGACTTTTGAGATTGTAATTGTTTACAAGTACAATAATTTTATTTTATTTTCCAGGAACTTTCTTGTTGCAGTATCTTCTCAATTTAAAACAAAATCTAAAATCATCAAAGCTAGGAAAAAACCAGCAGGCTTTGAAAATAATCAAATGACAATCTCTGCAAAATATGGTAAAGAAAAAGGTAATGAACAAATTGCATAAAAAAATATACAAAAAAATTATTTTTCATTCATTCCATTTCATTTATTTATTTGATTGTTGGAGAGAGTGTTTGGTATACTGGACCAACTGTATCTACATAACAATTTCTGAAATATATAGGTACTCCATCAGGAAAATGTGTTTTTTTTTGATAAACATATTATATGTATATTATATGTGTATTATTTTACATTACAGGTGATCTGCATATAATATACATATAATACACATGTCCATAAATTACACACGAATTATACATATATTATATGCAGATCACCTGTAATGTAAAATAATACATGTATAATATACATATAATATATGTATCAAAAAACACGTTTTCCTGATGTCAACTTAGGCCCATTAAATATTCAGTTCAACCAGTTGATTCATACAGCTTTCATTTTGATCTTCCATTGGAACAACCTATTCTTATTTTGGAAAGTGAAATGTCATTAGTACTTACATCCAATTTTATGCAGAATTTGCAAACTCAACAAAATAACAACCATATTATAATTCTGTCTACAACTGAATATCATTCAGAGATGCAGTTTCAAATATTAAAACTCTTAAAAAATTTGAAAGAAGGTGATTCAGAAGATGGACTTCATGGGAGGGGTGGTGGATTGTTAGGTATTGTTTCTTACCTTTCTTCATTCCAAGTTAACCATAATGTTGCCTCTAGAAGCACCTTAAAATGCAAACATGTGGATGCACATGTTGGAAGTATACCAATAATTCTCATGGAAGAAAAAGCTGATAAAAATGATCTAGATGTAGCCAAATGTGAATTGATGAATAAATTTGCATGGCCACCTCATCATCACAAATTGCCATTTGTTATTGCTATTGCAGTAGCAAATGATATTATCTCTTTCAACAAGCTTGATCGTTCACAAAATCTCATAGATGAATTTAAGGTTAATCTTTCTTCTCAGGATAAGTGGAAGGTTTTCCAGTATGTTTCCAGTTTTGATTTTTGATTTAGAAAAATTGTTTTACTTTATTATGGAGTATTAATTTTATCATCGTTTTATATTCTTAAACAAAGCTGTGCACAGGCATGTATCAATATAAGTAGGTATTGTTTGCGGGCTGTTGATCAAGTTGGACCACTTCCACCATTTCCCTTTGGTGTTTCTAATGTGCAAATAGCAGAAGGAGATTTTTGGGGTTGAGAAATAATTATCAATTACTCAGTAATTATCAAGACATATATTGGAATGAAAAAGGAAGATATGGAAAGGTTCTACTTGTTTGCATTTTATCTTAGATATTATATAAAATTATGTTGTTAGTTTTTAATACTAATGCTATGGTAATTTTCTATGTATTAGGGTCAAATTATTCTATGACACTACAAAAGGGACACAATACTTAGAAAAAGCAGTGAAATATGTCATTAAAGTCAAAGATGATGAATCTGAAACATTAACATTATATTTAACTCCAGTAGGAGTAAATAGGAAGCCAGATTCAGTTGGAAAATTACATATTGCAATGTACTGCATTGTTCATTGTGTTTATAATGTTCATCAAAGAGGTTGGTGTATAGTAGAATTATGTTGGCCAAATGTGGTAGAACAAAATGATTGTTTCTATGTGATAGATGCAGGTGAATTTGCACAACATCATGGAAAGGCTATTCACGGCAACATGCTTTGTATTTTTGATCCAGTCACTGTTGATTCCTGTAAACCTACCACAGACATTATATGTTGATTAAAATGATGGAGGATACAGAAAATATGTGGCATGGTAATCCTCATGGTCAGGATTTTTTCATGGAACTAGAAAATTGCTATCAACAAAATAGTTTATTTTCAATATTTGATCACAATTTCCTCACTAAGCCTCAATGAAGCTACAAGCTATGATATACCAACATTTTTATTTAATTAATAAATGAATATTTTAAAGTTCAAAAACATACTGGGTATTGTCTTGTATTGACATTTATTATAGGTGGTGGTATTTTGAAAAGCGTTTTATTTTCAGTAAAATCAGAAATTCTTAAAGTAGCTGACATAATTATAATCTTTAAAGGCTAGATAAATAAATCCGAATATAAATTAAAAATAAAGATTTAGATTCAACGTATTATAAAAAGCAAGTATAAATACCTTGATTTTGTTTTTATCATCTTGATTCAATTCTCTTCGCAAATTTAAAACACGACTAACAACACCAATTAATATATCAGTGTTTAAAGTTCGTTCATGTGCTTCATCAATTATTATGACCGAATATTTTGTTAGTAAAAAATCATTAGTAAGTTCACGAAGTAAAACGCCGTCAGTCATAAATTTAATAACAGTTTTAGGCGAAACTGTCGCATCATAACGAATCTGATAAATTTTTATTAATAAAAAAATTTATTAACTGATTAATCTTAAACCACAAAAAAACCCCTCTTTTGACACCTACCTGATAAGATACTTCTTGATCACTCAATGATAACTCATATGCTACACGTTTTGACATACTAATTGCAGCAACACGACGGGGTTGGGTGATTCCTATAATTCCAGGATTATCTGGAGGAGGGAAAAAATTAATATATTGCTATGAAATAATGAAATCAATACATAATTTATATTTATTTATACCACTATTCTTGTTTCCGTAACCAGCCTCATATAAAAATTGTGGTATTTGGGTTGTTTTTCCTGAACCTGTTTCACCGCATATTATTACTACTGAGTTTTGACTTATTGTTTCCATTATTATTTGTTCTTCTCCACAAATGGGTAACTCCATCCTCGCAGTCTGGATCTCTTCAGACCTTTCAACTGGGATATAAAATGCCTACAATAGTAATAATAAATTTTTATGTGTGATTAATGATGCAAATTAACCATAAATGCCCCCAAAAATTGAAACTCTGAATAAAAAGCTGCAAAAGTTTTCAAACTTCTAAAAAAGACCAGTTACCTTTTTAACAAGATCTTTATTATTTTCTTCGGCCATGTCTGTAGTTTCATTATTAATATTCTCAGTCTATAACAAAAAATAGTTTGAATGATTTAGATTAATCTTTAAGATAGGGTGAATCATGTGACATCATCTGAATGTACTGCGGATCCTGATCCACGATTGGCACGTGGTTTCCCCTACCCTTAAGCACTCAATTACCTTTTTAACAGAAGTTTTTGATTTGTTGTTATTGGTATGTTTATTTCTTTCTTCAGCCATGTATGCAGTTGCATGATTAATATTTTTCAATCTTGTAGCCTGTATTTCTTCAGCCTATAATAAAATAATAGTCTATAAATAATTAAATAGGTACAACAGCACAATTGAGGCTATATGCCAGAAATAGTAATGTAATATTGATTACTTTTTTAACAGAAGTTATTGTTTTTTTATTTTTATTTTTTTCTTCGGCCACGTCTGTAGTTGTGTTATTAATATTTTCCAACTTTGCAGCCTGTATTTCTTCAATCTATAACAAAAAATAATTTATGAGTGATTCATGCAAATAATTATAATTGAGACTAAAAAAGATTCTGATGTAAACTCTTTAAGCATCTCAAAGAAGATCGGTTACCTGGTTAACAGTAGTTTTGAATTCATTAATAGCATTTTTACTTTTTTCTCCAACCATGTCTACAGTTGCACTATTAATGCTTTTATGTTTTTTTTTAAATGGTGGTGATATCGATTCTTCCTCATCTATACCATGTTTACCATATTTTAAGGCAAGCTTTTCTTTCCTGGTTTCTTTCTATTAAAAGTGTAGTATGAAAATTAAATTAGCACATAATCAAATCAAATCAGATCGAATCAGATAGAATCAAATCGAATCGAATCTTGATTGTTAAAATCTATTTTTTATGGACACCTTTCTTCCCAGATCTTTACTTGATTTCATTAAATTTGAAGAATAAGATGATTTTGAGAGCTTCTCAAATAAATCCACTCTTTCTTCTTTTTTCAATTTTTTCTCCTAAAAAAAACTACCAATTATTTATTTGAATATAAGACTCAATTATTTTAATTGAATAATTTTATTGTGAGCATCATACAAGATATTTTTCAAATCTTTTCTTTTTTTTACTTGACATTTTGGTCTTTGAAGAATCCATTTAATTGAAAGAATCGATGAAATTTTATGTGATCGACGTCGCAAGTCATCTAGCCCCCCAATTTGACCCAATCAAAGAAAAAAATGCGATGAAAATTGTTTGGTCATGTAATATTTCTAGTCATTCCATAAATAGTAAAATCGGCAATAATCATACATAGTAATAATCAGTAAAAAAAAAAAGGATCAATCTTGCAATAATAGGATTATTTTCCTTCTAAGGATTTCTGTTTTTTGTTTCTTTTATTAGTGTTTATTATTTTTCTTTCTTGGTAAATTTCATAGGTGATCCTTTCTTTCCCTAGATAAGCTTCCAGTATCTGAATATCATTTATTTTGAAAATATAAGGTGCAATTTTTTCACCTTGTTCTTTCTTCAAAATACTTCTAATTGTACTACAGTTGGCTCAGTCTAATTACCTCCTAAATCTCGTGCAAATTTTAAAAGTATAGAAGTCATTTCCTGTTCTACCCTTTAAAAAAATAGCTCTATTAGTTGATAGAATAGTTCTTTTAATTTTAATGTAATAGAGATTTTCTCAAAAAAATTATTTGTTGTATACACAGTAAATCTAGGCTTAATGGATAGTTTGGGCAATTAGGGAAAATTTCCAAAAATCTATTAAACCTAGATATCCACTATATTGGGAAGGTTTTTATTAAGGTTTTTTATGGAACTGTTCTTTGAACTTTATCTGTAAAACCAAGATTTTTAATTAGTACAGTGAACACTCTATAAGTGCACCCCCTAAGGAATGGATGAGACTGTGCATTTATGGAGGGATGCATTTATAGAGAGAAAGAATTTTATTGGTTTCACGTGACACTAATAAAAATTATTGTCATGCAATGAATTCTAAAAAATATTTATTTATTTAGGAAATTGTTATTCGCACCCCGTGTGACTAAGACAAAGATGAACCAATAAAATCATCACATTTTAAGCCATTCATTGGTCACATTACTATACTTAGTCACACGGGGTGCGAATAACAATTCCCTTTATTTATATATTATTATTACATATTAATATTATTGTTGATTAAAAAATTGACTCATTATGGTTTGCTTCATTGAATTTATTTTTTTTAAATTAATATATCGATCAAGAGCATTAACTTGCTTTAATTGTTCTTAGAATTTTCTTGTTGTAATAAAAAGCATGGTCAATTTTTGAAGCTTCATTCATACTTATTATTACTGGCTCAGTGCTATTAACTTCTTCATTATTATCAGTAGGTACTTCTGGTTGGTTTTTATATATTTCAACAAGTTCTTCAATGATTTCATCATCTTCAGGCAACATCCAAGCCTTTTTATTATTATGATATGT